ACACACAACCCTGCGCACCACTTTTCGAGATTCCGACTGGGCCTAGCAAATACCAGAACTGGTATGTTTAACACACCTGGACAACCTGGAGGTATTTGGGACCAATCATTGTTCTTCGACAGAACATTGCTGCCTTTGTGTTAGTCCCTCTACCCAGAATGCTTTTTCCATCAATGAAAATGCTCTAAACTACTAAAATGCTAAAAAGCTCAAAACTACAGCAGCACCTCATCCAGGCAGCCTTCCGGGATTTTTCCTAAATGGAGGCTCACTACTGAGGGCCTGCACAACACATTTCCAGGCCTCTTCCTGCCCAGCTGAGACTGCATGCAGGTGGGTTGCACTTTGCACGTGCACCCCACAACGCCCAGCACACCTGGGGCTCTTACCCAGAGAGATCGTTCTCGATCACCATCTTCTGCAGCCCGGCCGAGATGCTGCTGCTGCCAGAGCCAGGCGTGGAGGCCAGGTCATTTGTCCCTGGGAGCTGCCCACTGCCCGGGGTGCTCAGTGCTGTGTGGACGTCCCTCAGGATTCGAGGCAGGGGCCCCAGTTTGGATACGATGCTCTGTGGACACACGAAGAGGCAGATGTGACCTGCTGGGGCCACCTGGAGAGGCCAAGTGAGCGAGCTGCAGCCACGGTGGTTTAAAACTCCCGAGGCATCAGGCAGAAATGCAGGCCTCTCTCCTACCAGTCAGATCCAGCGGGTCGGAGGTTGGCGGGACTGTGCAAATCACATATTTACCAGCTTCCCAAATATTTCTGAGATGAAGGTGTGAGGGCCACAAGGAGAAGTGCTGAACCAGTCCTAGCCTTTGACCCAAGTTCATCCTACCTTTGCCTCCAGGGAGGAAAACCCACGAGGAATTCAGAACTTTTCGCACCCACACCTCCCCATCTGAGAGGCTTCTGGGACAGCCCCTCCCACATCACCTCCTCCAGAGGGTGCGCGGGGCCTGACCCATTGATACCCGAGGCCCAGGGGACATGGTCCAGGCACAGAGCAGGCACATGGTGGGATTAACAGTGGAGGGCCAGGCAGAGGCAGCACCTCACTGCCATGGTTAAGACTAACGGTGCTAAGGATGCCGGCTGTGGGCCAAGCGGCGGGAAGGGGACCTGCCTTCACCTGCTTAGCCACTGGCTTCCAGGTAGGACTTTGTGCAGAAAGAACATGTGAAAACTCGAGTCGTCATCAACAGAACAGAGACTCCGGAGGCAGAGTGCTCTGTTTCAGTCCTGCTGCAGCACCGCCAGCTGTGACGGCTGCTGACCATGTACAGATACGGGGCCGGCACAGGGGCGCAGGAAGAGGAGGCACGGAGGTGACTGGCCTTGGTTCCCATTCCCCTCCGTGTCTCTCGCAGCCAAAGGGCAGTGGACGAAGCTGAGCAGAAACGACTGCATCAGCACCTGTTGTTGGTGAAAAGCTGGACGGACCCGAGTGTCCGGCAACAGTGGGCAGTGAGCCGCGGAGCAGACGTCCAGTGTGAGACACACACACTGCAGTGCACACCTACGTTCTCCCTTTAGCACACTCCAACCAGGAAAAGAGCTCTGTGCTTGCATGTGCACCTAACACACGCAGGTACATCCAGAGGCTGCAGCCCTGAGTGCCCTTGCATGGTCCCCTCCGGGAAACAGGACAGGAGCGAGAGCCTCCCCGCCCTGCTGCAGCAGGAACTGCTTTTGTAAGGGGGTCTCTCGGAGTCCCAGGAAGCAACAAATATCCTGGAGGTTGACGGTGGCAGGTATAGCCCTTTCTGCCAACAACCTGTCCACTGTGGGCAGAGCTGCTGGGGGCGGGGCGGGGAGCCCCGGGTGGCAGAGAGCACACGCCGGTGGCTGCAGCCATCTCAGGGGTTTCTGGGCAACAACCATTTCAACTGACTTGACGGCCAAGGGCAATTGTGGGAAGGTTTGTAGGAAGGTTTGTAACTTCCTGCCTGGTGCTTGAAGGTATAGCGGAGCATACTTGGTCTTTTTCTTATGGTGCCCTTCAAACCCAGAACAAGGACATTTTCACAGAAAGAGCTCAATCTGATCACATTTCTCACGGGTAGGAAACACACCTTCATACGTGGAATCCGCCCACTCAGCAGCGAGTGTGCAGGGACACAGCCAAAACCCCAGTATCCAGGATGGGCGCCCGGCCCACAGGTGCTGGCGAGCGTGCATGGCACCCCCACCAGGGAAGCGGGCCCCAGAGATCCTAGCGTGTGCCTCAGGGGCCGAGTGGGAGGTGGGAGCCCAGCACCTGGGCAGGCTACTGATCTGCACCCACAGGAGAGCCCCTCTGCCCGCACCCTGCCTGTGGGACAGGACAGGCACCTGCTCCAGCTGGCTGACGGCCTCCCAGAGCAGCGCGTGCAGGCTGGACAGCTCGCGGCCCAGGTCGATGTAGCCCTCGAAGCCGGCAGTGTTGGAGATGGTCTCCGGGTTGGAGATCTCTAGCAGGAAGCGCTGCATGTTTGTCCACTCGTGCTCCAGGAACTGGTTCATGAACGACATGTACTCCTCTTTGCTGCCAAACCTGGAAGAAGAGCAGGCAGGGTGAGCGACCCAGGTCCGCGGACGGCCCGAAAGCCACGCTCACACAGGAACCCTCCTTCTCGGAGATACCCGCCCTCAGCTCCCATCCCCCCTCACCCACTGTGGCCACTAATCCACCAGCCAGCCAATCTGCTATATGACTCAGGGCCCTTGTTCCTCAGGGACCCTGAGGACCCCTTCTCACAGGACCTGGAATGTTCTGTGGCCTTCATTCCCCTTTCACTGCCGGTCACAATCTCCTTCCTCTCTCCCTCCAGGTTTCCAAGGCCTGGTGGGCAGATGATTCCCAATCTATGCTCGGCCAGGCCTCTCTGCTGAGCCTGCAGACGTGTGTCCATAGCATCTCCCCTCGCACCCAGCCTGGCCAAGTCTGAAGTCATCACCGTCACCCCAAGCCCATGCCCTCCTCCCAGACTCCCTGTCCCAAGTGGAAACCCAGGTCCACCAGAGAGCCGAGCCAGAGCCTGTCCCGTCATCTCCGCCCTCCCACCCGGCAAGGCTGCTGACTTTGTCTTCTCATCGACCATTGACCTTGCAGCCCCTGCCTCCTGCATCACCTCTCCAAACCCCAATTCCCTTTTACCAGAAACACAGCTGTGCTCTTCTGAGGTCTCTCAGGTGCCAGTCTCACTCCCTCCAACCCCCTCCCCACTGCTGTCAAGCTGACCTTTTTAGGACCCAGAACAGACAAGGGCCACCTCTCCGCCCCCCATGCTTAAAGCCCTGCATGGCCTTCAGTGCCTGGCCTTCAGGTCCCTGCGTCCTCCTGGGTCTCGTCTCCCACTTCTCCCCGCCTGTCATTTGGAGATTCAGGAACGCCAGGGTGCCTTGTCCCTATATCACACGGCCCTCCCAGGAGCTGCCCTGCCTCTGCTCCCATCGCTCAGCTGGGGGGCACGTGTCTGGGGAAGTCTCTCCGTCTCCTCTCCCAGCAAGCTGAAGGCCCTCCTGAGAGACCGTATGTACCTCTCTCGCCCTCCCCTGTCGAAGGGCTGGGACCAGGCGTGACTCCGAGCTCAGCACAGAGGGGCCCGGAACTGGCGACCGGATGACCAGCCTTCCTGTTTCTGCCCCCTCGCTCTAAGGCAGCGATGGCGAAACCATGACACGCGTGTCAGAGGTGACACGCAAACTCATTTTTTTGGTTGATTTTTCTTTGTTAAATGGCATTTAAATATATAAAATAAATATCAAAAATGTAAGTCTTTGTTTTACTATGGTTGCAAATATCAAAAAATTTCTATATGTGACATGGCACCAGAGTTAAGTTAGGGTTTTTCAAAATGCTGACACGCCGAGCTCAAAAGGTTCGCCATCACTGGCCTAAGGTATAGTCCAAACACGGACGTGCTCGACGAGCAAGGACATCCTCGACAGCATTACACAAGGACAGTGTGGAACAGCCCGCGGGCCGGCTCAGGGGCCGGGCTAGGAAATGTGGGCCCTCCTCCCTGACGGCATATTAGTCGTTCGTTTCAAAATGAGGCGTATGGCTGTTAAGCAGATGGGAGAATCCTTATGATTAAATGTTCATTCGAAAATGCTGCAGGAAAAAACATCTTGGCTTCTCACCTCTGAAAATTAAGGAAACATACCAAAATGGCATGTACCTTTGGTAGGGAGGGAGGACGGGGTGCGGAGGGGACTTCATTCTGGAAAGGGGGAGAGGAAGGACTGAGCATGACGGGGACAAAAGCAGGGCCCATTGCGCAGCCCAGCTCCTGGGAAGACACGCCCATGGCCTGCCCCCCTGGGCTCCTGCCCGTGGGGGACACAACACTCACTTGGCGAAGTTGGCCAGGTTCTGGGTAACCTTGGCGATGAGGGTGAGGGTGCGGGCAGTGCGGTCATCGGGGTACTCCTGCAGCAGGTTGAAGAGTGAGGGTGACATGATGGCTGGGCAGAGGAAGCGCAGAAACAGGGAGGCGCTGATGAGCCGCTCGCTGATGTCTGGCCGGCCGCGGCTGCTGCACTCTTGCCGCCACGAGGCAAACACCTCTTTGAGTTCCCGTGGGAAGACACTGGGCAGGAATAGACAAGAGCGGGCCTGGTGGTCAGGCAGGGTGCCAGGACAGGTGGGTGCAGAGCAGGGACCTGGTTCTGGGTCCGATGGAACCCTGAGCTCCAACCCTGATAGCTATGAGCTGGCCCTGCTGCCCATCACCATTCTATCATCCATCCCCCTATCCATCACCCACCGGACAGGGCTGCTGGGGGAGCTGAGGCAGCACAGGGCGGCAGAGCGAGTGCTCAGGAAGGGCAAGGGGTGCAGGGCCAGGCACTGAGTGATGACATCTACCCATGGCACCCAGAACTGAGAGGTGCCTCTGGGTCTCTGACAAACACCAGAAAGAGGAAATGGAAAATCATTGTCCACAATATGTTTCCCTGAGTGCCACACCCACTGCCCTGGGAACAGCAGGGCAGAGTGAAAACAGCCTGGCCCAGGGCAGGAAGTGTGTGCCCTCAGAGTTCAAGGCTCCAAGGTCACCGCCCCGCCCACTCAGTGCCATGGGTCACGTGACCTAGCCCAAAGGGCCAGGCTGGTCTAGGTGAGCCCAGGAGCAAAGGGGGGTGCAGGGGGCACTGGCCCCGCTGGTTCTGACCATCCCCTCGCCTAGCAGGCCTCTCTGCTGAGCAATCACGGGGCCCTTTGGTGTGCCCAGCCCTGAGCAGGGGCTCCACCAGCCTGGAGCTCCCAGCATGTGCAGGAAGCAGATTTACGTCAGATTTACTCTGATGGGATCAGGGCTGGGACAGAGGATGCCCAAGAGGGGTGAGCTGACTTAGGCAGGCCACAGAGGGAGCCAGGCATAAGCCTTAAAGGAGAAAGGGGAGAAGTGTGACCAAAGAGAGTAGTCAAGTATCACTGGCGGTGGGGAGGGGGACGCAGGTGCTGAGCTGGTGCCGTGACGAGAGAAAGTCTGAGCAGCCCGTGCAGTGTGAAAATAACCGTGCTCGGCACTGGCAGCACGTTCCCGCCCTGGACAGTTACGCCTGCCTCACCATTAGCAAGGCTGTACCCTGCAGTCAGCTGGCACCACACGGACCTGGGAGCAAGCAGGTGCCCTGCAGGCCGTAGCTCACGCACCAATCCTGGCCCCGACTGTGGTCCTCCCTGAACAGCCCGACCGCACGCCCCGCTCCTTCTCTCGGGACTGCAGAACTACGTTCTCCTTAGACTCCCATCCTTTCTTCTCCGTCCCTACAGTCCAGGCACCACACGAGCCCTAGCTAGGCCCAATCACCAGCCTGTGACATGAGCACCAACAGACAAGGAGTTGGTTAAGTCATCCACCACCCCAGGGGGATGCCCGAGCCAGGCCTTGCCAGTCTTGCTCCCTGTGCAGCCTCAGCACCTACAACAGCACCAGGCACAGGGGGCGCTCGCTCAGCAACTACAACAGCATGCACAGGGGGTGCAGTGAACTGCTGCTGCTCCCAACCCTCCACGTGGCACACACCGTGTCCTGCGTGGTCTGGAACACTCCCTCACATCGGAGAACCCAAAAAGGGCCAAGACTTGCGGAGTCAGGCAGAGGGGTTCCCATCCAGGAGCCACCTCTCTGAAGCTATGTGAGGAGGCCACAGGCGTGTCCACCTGCCCTCTCCTGGGTGAGCCTCAGCTCTCTTGTTTGTAAGTCAGGCACAGGCAGCAGCCTCTCCCTGAGCCGTACGCATGAGGACGGCACACCATGCCTCGCACCGCACCTGGCACCCTGCAGGCACTGACACAGCACGGGTCACACGATGGGTGGGGAGGCCTGGCAGCTGAGCCCAGGGAGGGGGTGCGGGGCAGCACTGACCAGTAGGAGTTGATGATCTTGCAGAAGGCCAGTTCACAGCACATCTTCAGGTTGCCCTGGTGCTCGGGGAGGTCAGAGGCCGAGCACTTGCTCGGGTCCACCTCGCAGTTCTCGTCCGACTCATACAGCGCTTTGATGAACTCGCCTGTGACCGGGAGGGCAGAGAGGGGCAGTGAGGACCTGGTGGGTATGTCCCACTGTCTGCCCACGCCGGCCCGAACCCTCCCTACCTAGCGCGTCCTGCAGATACTTCTGGCCCACCAACTTGAGGTACTCCTCGATGGCCTTGGTGGCCAGCGTGTTCTCCCGGAAGATGAGGTGCTCGTTGTCCCCGCAGCGGTCCACCTCTGACATCATCAGGTCAGTCAGGAAGTCCTGGGGAGGCAGGCAGTGAGGAGGGAGGACCTGGCCAGCCGGCAGGGGGGACCCTCAGGTTCCACACTCGCTGCCCGGGCAGCGGCCAGAAGCCTCTGCTTCCCAAGGCTGCTCCTGTCCACCTCGGGGGCTGCCGGAGGGCAGGGCCGCCTGGTAACATCACAGCTGGGTCTCAGGACCAGGGAAGGCAGGCCTGGGCAAGAGCATGCCACATGGACACGAGCTTCCTGCCCCATGGCCAGGCCAGCTGGACTCAAATCCCTGCTTGGCCCTGAGCAGGCCTGGGTGACCAGGGAACCCCTACCCTCCATCACCATCAACGCCTGAGAGGACAGATGGGCACCCTCTCCACTATCTACCCATGACTCTGATGAGTCTCCCTCACCAGACATGGCTCGCTCTGCGTGGTGCGGCAGAGAAGGAGAGAGGCAGAGGCTGCCCGGCTGCCTCGGGGGCAGTGAGCCAGTGCTCAGTTGGGGAGAGAAGGGAATTTAGCTTCGTTGGGAAGGTGATGGCACCACTGCCCACCTGGCAAACCCAGGGAAGCAGTTCCTCATTGCTGAGGGCAGCTGTTAAGTAGATGAGCCTGCTGGGCCCCCAGGCAGGGTCATGGGCAGACCCCAGGAGGCAGCCTGGCCCACATCTCCCCGCCTGCAGGGAGGCTGGAGAGTAAACCTGCTGCCACGGCCCAGACGGGAGCTCCCTCCCTCGAGACCCTCCTCCCACCCACAGCCAGCCTTGTGACCTGGGGGAGGGAAGAGGACAGGCAGGGAGTCAGAGGCCCAGGGGAGGGTGAAGGGCAGGGCAGGGACCACCAGCAAAGAGGCTACAAGGTGGCCAGCGTGAGCCAGGGTTTCTGGTGCGCACAACTTTGGCAACCTCTCTGACATCACACATGGCCCCTCAAATACAGAACTGAGCTTGCAGCCCAGGTGGCCCTGCTGGCCAAA